TTAACTATTAGTTGACTGTTAGTTAGCAAAAACCTACTTTCAGCTAATAAAATTAATAGTCAGCCAACTGAGTTAACAATTGGTTAACAGAACTAATAGGTGAGAAATTAAAATGTCATAATATAAAGTGGTGGGTTAAAACCTACAAATCTAATAAGGTAAAGAGTTAAAAGTAAGTTTTTGCCTTTCAATGCCCGGTCGGTCTCGAGCTTACCCGCTAGGGTCCCCCAGTTTCAGGATTTGACACACTTTGGCTACTAAAATTAATATTACTTCATTAGAATCTCAATTTGGTTGATCAAAACAATGTTTCTACATTTCTCAATCGTAATTTGAAATTTTTATTTCTGATTTCAAAAGCAAATTAAACTTACTGTAATTTAAACTATAGTTTGCGTTTGAGAGACTAGAGCCAGCAGTAGCAATGGCTTATCCTCATAAGAGAGTTCCTGTTTGAAAAAAATCAAAGCTTTTCTGATCTGCCAAATATTTTCAACTAATAAAATTAATAGTTAACCAACTGAGTTAACAATTAGTTAACAGAACTAACAAAATATTATAAAGTAATGGTTATTTTTCTTCAATTCTAACGAAATAGGAGAGAGAAGAAGGAAAATAGAGAGGGAAGGGAGGGGAAAAAGGTCTCCAAAACGAAAAGTAAATGAGGGTATTTTAGTTTTAATGAAAGAATGACACAATGAAAAATTTTTCACTAGAATAAGATTACCAATGAGTTACTTAATATTTCATCCATTCCCAAATAATTGTAGTTTTTTTATTTTGAATTTGTCTTCAATTAATTGTAATTTTTTTATTTTTTAAGGTAAACAAATATTTTTTCCAACTTTAACTACTCTAATTAATATCATCAAAACATAAAAAGTCTTTGTTTATTTTTTTAAAGTATTATAGATAAATATAAATACTATCCTCAAAATTTTAATTTAAGAGGAAAAAAAGTAAAAAAAAAAAGACAATTTTTTGAGACAAAAAGAGTAGTTGTAAGGAAGTATATAAATCTTACAAATTGGATTAGTTATAAATTATGCCCTTTCATTTAACTTTAAATCTAATTTCTAATTTGGAGTGTTTAAATTTAGGTTTCATTTGAGAATACTCTCAGTGCTTTAGTTTTGGGTTTTTATGTCTATTTACTATTCTAAAAATATATAAAATGTTAAAAATAATATAAAAATAAAAGTTGAGTACAGAAACTATATAAAAAAAGGTTGAGGATCAAAATAAATTTAACAAAAAATTGAAGTACTAATATAACTCGGCCTATGGGTTCTGATGTAGATTGAGCAACCACTTCTTGTTTCCTTGAGTTCCATGAGAAAAAATTTCCAAATCCAAATGAGAAAACATAACTTGGAGTGTTCTTCATATTTTCTACACATCTTGCTCAATTGCTATCAATAATATAAGATTTTTTATTTTTTAGATCATGCATTTTCATTTTTCAGGTTGAACTATTATGTATAATTATTTAATTAAAAAAATTATATTTTTTTACTATATATTTATGAGTTAAATTTTGTGTATCAAAAATTTATATATCGTTTTCTCTTTAATGTTTCATTTTAGTTTACTGAACAGGGTTCATATTCATTTTTCCTTCGTTTTTTTGCCGAATAGACGTTTGATGTTTCCTTCTTTCTATCTGTATGTAAGATCTAGGAATATGTTTGATCGTCAGATAATTAAAGTATATAGCGTTTTCTCAAAACAATGTTAGTTGTATTATTAGTTAATAGTTATAATTATTAATATTTTAGTAAATCAAATAAAAGCTTAAATTTTTTATTGAGATATGATTTAAGAACGAAAATACTATAATTATAATATTATATAATATTTGTAAATTTATAATATGATGTGTTATTACATATTTAATTTTTTTATTTGGAGATTTATTACTAATATTATATATATCAACTCATTTATTGTTACATCATATTTCATTTAACGTTAAGTAAAAGTATAAACTTATAATTTTTTATGATATTATAACTATAGTATCATTGATTTAATAATAATTTTATAAAAACTTACTAATAATACATTTTAAAAGCCAATTTTAATTTTTCAGTGCTATAGTTACAATATGATATAGCATTATAAATTTATAATTATAATCTATTACTAAATGAGTAAATATAAATAATAAATATTATGAGGAAACTCCGAAATAAAAAGAGTTGATTATTGCTAATAATTTAATTAGTTTAGTGATAATCTTTTTTTAGTGATAATCTTTTTTTAGTGAAAGTAAAAAATCTTAAATTTAAATTATATAACGTATAGATGAAATATGTTAAAGGATAAAAGAAGATTGTTTTTTATTGTATAATCTAAAATTAAAAAAAAAATTGTTCATGTAATAATACCATATTTAGAATTTATTTTGAAAACCAAACGACACCCTAAATCTTAACCATTAGATGTCTTCCTCTTTCAACTCATGCTCTTGTCAAATTAAAAAAACAAAAAGAGAAGCAGAAGAAAATGCGAAAAAAAACAGAAGAAGAGGTAAAGAATGAAAAAATAATAAAAAGAGAGAAGAAACGAAAAGAAAGAACATAAGAGATAAGGGAGAGAGAAGAACAAAGAAAAAGGAAAAGCAAAAAGAAAAAGCGACAGAAACAGAAATAAACGCAATAACATTGAGATTTATGTTTTATGTTTTTAAAGCTGAATCGTATATTAAAAGAAATTCGTGTGCCTAGCATGACCTAAAAAAATTAGGTAGAAAGATAATAGAAATTATGTTATTTTAATAAAATATTAAAATAA